TTTAATTTGTGTGTGCATTCTTGTGTGTGCACATGTGCATGTGTGCACAAACGTGCACAGGCCAATGTTCAACCTCCAAAGTTTTTTTCCTCCTCGATTTTTTGAGACAGAGTCTTACCTCCTGAGGTGTATCAGTGAGGCTAGGCTGGCCAAGAAGCGAGCATCTATACCCTCTGTCTCCACAGCACAGAAATTTGAGCATATACTTTCCCTCATGGTTTTGTTTTTAGCATGTGTTCCAGGGCTTGAACACAACTTTGTGTGGTCACATGACTATTTTACCAACAACCAAAATTAATTTAGTAGTGTAGCAGGTTTTCTTAGACGGCTGGCCCCAAAATCATGACACAGAGACTTAATATTAGTTATGAATGCTCAGCCTTACCTTATGTTTGTCCCACTAGCTCTTATAACTTAATTCACCTATTTTTTTAAATCTACATTTTGCCTCAGGGCTTTTTACCTTTCCTTCATTCTGTTTGTCCTTCTCCATGGCTGACTGGCTGGCTGCTGTTTGGCTGACTGGCCCTGGGCACCTCCCTCTTTTTCTCCCTCATTCTCCCTCTTTCCTCACCTAAATTCTTATTCTCTCTGCCCACCAGTCCTGCCTATCCCTCTCTTGCCTAGCTACTGGCTGTTCAGTTTTTTTTTTTTATTAGAACAATCAGGTGCCTTAGGCAGGCAAGGAGAAACAAATGCAACACATCTGTACAGAGCTAAATAAGTGCAGTGTAAACAAATGGAACACACATCTATGGAGTTCAAGTAATATTCCACAACAGAATCCCTGTGATCTGCCAAACATGGACCTGGGTACGGCTGCACGGAGGTAGAAAAGACAGTAAACTGGTCAACCTTGTCTCAGCCTCTATCTACTTTGTTTTTGAAACAGAGTCTCCCAATTGGAGTTGGGGCTCACTGATTCAGCTAGGCTGGTTGGCCAGGGAGCCCCAAGATTCTACTTGCCTTTCCGCCCCCACTGGAATGACAAGCACACGCACTATGTTTGGCTTTCTTATACAGGTCCTGAGGATCAAACTCGGGGCCTCATGCTTGTGTCCTAAGTTCCTGAATGACTTAACTATCTCCGCAGTCCCATCAGGTCAGAGGGTATAGGCATGGCTGCTTGGCCTCGTTGTCTCTGGGGCTGAGACACTGCAGAAGGTCTGCCGGAGGGAACATGCTGGAACAATCCACTTGGGTCTGGGAATCAAAAGGAAAAATAATGAAACAAGATGAGCCACAAACCCTGGAAGGGTGTGTGCCCAATGACCTAACTTTCTCCGACAAGGCCCCACTTCCTCAAGGTTCCACCACCTACCAACCGTGCAGTGGGCTTGAGGGTCAAGACTTCAAAACAGACTGTAAGTGTTCGAGAGCCCAGAGAGCTCTTATCTGTTTTAATTTTCTTTCTTTTTTTAGAGTTGAGATTTTTCTGTACAGCCAAGACCAGTCTGGAACTTGCTGTAAAGTTTAAGATGGTTATTGAAAGAAAATCCTTAAGTCTCAGCCTTCCATGTGCTGGAATTAGAGGGGTGTGTGTGTGTGTGTGTGTGTATCAACCCTTGACCTGGTGGCTATTCAGAGCACACTCTTCAGACTCTAAGTTCAAACAGATTCTGTTTATAGAAAAAAGCAGTGCTTCACATTAGTAAACAAACAAAAAAAAACATGCCTTTGTTTCCTGAGATTGGTCAAGAGCAATTTATCCAAACAAAATAGCTCTCATACAGACACGAGCCCTGAAGAATTCCTATCAGTGGTCACGTTTGTCCTGTTGCAGGCCCTATCTGCAGCATGTGGTAGTTTGAATGTGATGGTCCCCATAAGCTCATAGGGAGCTTATTAGGAGGTGTGGCCTTGTTGAAGGACGTGTGTCACTGTGGGGGTGGGCTTTGAGGTCTTCTATGCTCAAGCTAAGTCTAGTTCAGACCACTTGCTATTGCCTGGAGGTCGAGATGTAGAGCTCTGAGCTCCTTCTCATGCCACCATGTCTGTCTGCAGGCCACCATGTCACACCATGATGAGAATGGACTCAATCTCAGAAATGTCAGCCACCTCAATTAAATATATATATGTATATATATATATATTATATATATATATATTTATATTTATAAGAGTTGCTGTGGTCGTGGTGTCTCTTCACAGCAATAGAAGCCCTAACTAAGGCAGGCCCTATTAGTCCTCCTTTTTTGGGGAACTATCCCTTAGCTCATAAGGAAAGCCAAGCTGGAGACACGGCTGAGCCTATCCTAGGCGTATAGAGGAGCTGGGACTGGATTGATTCATTTGGCCATGTGGGCTTGAGAATCTGCTGATGTGTGTAAGCACAGATGTGTCAGAGAACACGAATGATCACTGAGAGTTCTGTCAGTTACTAGTTACATTTCTGACGCCCAGCTGCCTTCCTGTCCTGGGTCGTGCCGAAGGTTCTTGTGTCTTTCCAGTGACAAGTGATACAACAATACAAGACTTTTTGAATCCTCACCATGCGCTGGGTGCTGGTTTGTGCATTTTGCTCAGGTCATACTCATATAGCTTGGTGGCATTCCCCACTGACAGCCAAGAAACTGAAGTGCAAATAGGGACATTTGAACTCTCACTGAAGACTCTTGGGACCAGAGTTTTAGCTGGGGTTTCTGTTGCTGCAGTGAAACACCATGACCAAAGGGCAAGTTGGGGAGGAAAGGATTTGCTTACTTATACTTCCATCTCACTGTCCGTCATTAACAGAAGTCAGGACAGGAACTCAAACAAGGCAGGAACCTGGAGGCAGGAGCTGATGCAGAAGCCATGGAGGGTGCTGCTTACTGGCTTTCTTCCCATGGCTTACTCAGTCTGCTTTGTTATAGAAGCCAGGACCACCAGCCCAGGGATGGCACTGCCTACCATGGGCTGCACCGCTCCCATTGATCAGTAATTGAGAAAATGCCTTACAGCTGGATCTCATGGAAGCCTTTCCTCAGCCCCTTTCTCTGATGACTCTAGCTTGTGTCAAGTTGACACACAAAGCCAGCTGGTACAGCCAGTATCTGAGATTCTGGGCTCTGTTAGTGGTATAGGAGAGGTATCAGGGTTGGATGCTAAGATTTAGATGCTAAGATTTGGAGCAGGGACCCTACAGTCAGATACCAACTAGCCTGAGGGAGGCCTGCAAAGGAAGAAAATGTCACCAGTGAACAAGCATTTTCCCAAGGACAGATCTGTGTTACCATACTTCGCTCACTGTCCCTATGTCAGAACACGGTCCAAGAACAAAATCCCACGAGGAGAATTCTGGGTGCCTGTGGGAAAACTCCAAGAAAACAAGACAAGAGTCTTGTGACCTCAGTTTCTTCAAAGCCACGGAACTGTTCTTGGAGTGAGTGCGGATGGCGTGAGTTCACCTCAGCCTGTCACAACTGGTCACTGTTACGCGTTGCAGGGATCTCTGGAAAAACATATTTTTACCACATGAGGCTTGTCCTTGGGATTGCACACTTTACTCATATGACACCTCTTAACCCTCAGAGTGTAACTTGTCGGATGCTCTGAATGAAGTTGGCTGTTGCATGAGACCTTGGTCAGCCTCATTTTTAGGCTCCGTCCTCCCAGGTCCAGTTTTCAAGTAGAGCAGCAACACCACTTTCTCATGATGTCATTGGGGAGGAGTGAAGTGTCTACTTGGTATGACCCCATTACTCTCATCTCCTGCAGGTTGTCTCTATTTGAGGTGTGAGGTCCTGCTGGCCTCCCCCTGACACCCTGTGTCTGGTTTCTGTGAGGCTCAGCCCCTGCCTCTGTCAGAGGGCTCATGCTGCATACTTTACAACCGCCTCCTCAGAGTCTCACAGTGACACTAGCCTTTTCTTGTCAATGGGCCTCCTCAGCATTTCCATTCTGGGCCTTCAGAAGCACTTTGGTCAGAGATCGCAGGGCCTCCACATAGAGGAAGGAGAGAGGAACCCCACTGAGCTGCTCTGAGGCTGGCAAAGCTCGGGCCCAGTCTCTCCTGACAGCCTTGGCTTTAGTAACCAGGGACTACTGAGTCTTCCCCAGGTCCTGGGAGTTTCAGTGATGCTGGCATTCTTCATGGCTCACACCAGGCCACCTGGCCAACAGTGGCCAACAGTGGCCAATAGAGCCACCTGACCCTGCGGGTCCCTCTTTCCACACCTCCTCCTTTGCCAGCGATTGATTGTTTATTTAACCTCTCATCATTCTTTAAGGATGGAATTATCCACCATCTGCTAGATTCTAGGCTCCAGAGGCAGCAAGATGGGGCAGCAGCCAAAAGTCCGTGCTGTGAACCATGATAGCTTGAGTTGAATCCACGGAATCCATATGAAGATGGGAGGACAGAACCAACTCCACTGAGGTGTCTGTCCTCCCACCTCTGCACACATACCCTTCCCATAGTGAACACACTCACACACGCATACACACACAGATGCATACACACACATACATACATGCGCGCATATACACACACATACACACAAACGCACACACATACATACACATACCCTTCCCATAGTAAACACACACACAAGTACACACACACGCATACACACACGCACATACACATACATACACACATGCATGCATGCACACACACATACACACACCCTTCCCATAGTAAATACACACATATGCATACACATACACGCATGCACGCATGCACATACAAACACACATGCAGGCATGCACGCATGTCCTAAGGACAGAGGAGCCCCCCATGAGGCTTAGTGGGGAGAGAAAACAAGCCAAGCAGTGGCTGAAGCCAGGCCCAGCCCAGGTGTTACCAGGCTGTGAAGAACAGAGTGATTTCCACAACAACTTGAATTCCATGTCTGTAGAGTTTAGGAAAACAAAACAACTGAGCCTCTATTACTTAGTTTTAAAATTTTTCCATAAATTTAAATTTTTATTACATTTTACATAAATACAGATCAGCCAAGAATTACAAATTTTGAAAAAACTCAGAACACACACACACAAATGGTGAGCAGAGATGTTCTAAACTACACACTGATATCTGTGCCATGAGCAACAGGTCGGAGAACAGGGGAGTCCCAGTAGAGCGAGGTCTGTCACCAGAATACTGAGCAGGAGTCTCTAGCCAGAGGAGTCTTCCAGGCCGGCAGCCCTGTGCAAGGGCCCTGAGGCCCATTTGGAGAAGGAGACAGCAGGGCAGGCAGCAGGCAGCAGGAGGGTGTGCTGGGAGGGTGAGGTGGTGGGGGGAGGCCCAGTCACGTGATGATTTAAGGGACACCAGGACACTGAAGGGCTGTAGGTGGAGAGGGGACAAGGTCTAGCCTGTGCTCTGAGGCTCCCTCTGCTATATGGCACGGTGGAGCTGGACGGTGGTGTGGGGGAGGGGGGAGGACACAGGGACAGTTCACAAAGAGGAACCTCACAGGCAGTGGAGGACACCCAGGAGCCAGGATGTAAGTTAGTGGTTGTGCGTTTCTCAGGGCCAGGGCCTTGGGTTTGATGTAACTAAAGAAAGAAAGAAAAGAAAAATCAGAAAACATACTTGGGACCAACACGGGGGAGCTACACAGCAGCCTGCTTCTTGCTGCCTCTTGAAGCAAGCAAAACCAGCTCTGCCCTGACCGTGGAAGACTCACTGACAGAAAGAGACCACTTTACATCTCAACCAGAGCCCAAGCCCAACCAGGTTTTCCAGAGTGCCTTCCTTGAAGAGGCCCAGCATGTAAAATCTCTCGAAGGGATTTTTGTTTTTAGGACACTATGCAACTGAGACAGCATGCTGCCAAGACAGAATTTCACTGAAAAAAAAAAAAAAAAAAGGATTTTCTTAAAGACACTAGTCGGAAAAAAACAAAGATGAAAAATGGCCCTGAGAATTAACAGGTCATAGGAAAACTGGCTCGAGCAGGCCTCCTACCAGCTGATTCCATGGGCTGTGAACTAAATGCTAAACGGGCGCTCTTGGCAGTGGTGCAGCCCACACCTTCACGTTATCCCTGACTTCCCAAAGGCACAGAAGGCGGCTTAGCTGAGGAGGCACCGTCTCTGTTTGAATGTGTGGTGGAGGGACCTCTAACAGGACACCACAGAGGACTTTACAGTGTGTAAGCCTCTATGAGGAGATCGCCACCTTTCTCTCTGCCAGGCCTCTGTCACCATGGTTACAGGAAGCTATCGTGAGCATTCAGACAGGGTGATTTAGGTGGACCTAGAGCATGAAACAGCTCGTGGTCCTTCTCTTTCTTCTCAGAGAACTGTTCTACACACAGAGAGGTTTTTAAATGAACTTGAGCTTGTCTTGTCTGTCAGGTAGTCTCTGCCTCCTGGCTGTGCCAGAAGCAGCTTTTACTATAAATTTTCTTATCAATTAAGTCTACATAAATTCCTAAGAAATGATGGCTTCTTAGCTATCCAAACCTTACTTTGTAACTTCCATGAGTCTATCTTGTGACTCTGAAAATAACCCCAGAAGGCTCAATAGTGCTTTCTTGGACAACTAAAACACAAAATGTGTATTAAATAGATAAGTAAATGCATTGGTAATACTTGATTTTACTGGCAGGAGTATAAAATGGAGGCTACAGGCTTGCAATGTACCACATCACAGGCGGTCCACAAAGCTGTAATCGCAGCACTTGGGAGGCTGAGGCAGGACCACCACGAGGTCAAGGGTCAAAATTAACATAGCAAGACCTCATCTCAAAAAATAAAATAAAAACAAAAAGATGTTAGTGGAAACAAATCTAAAATTGAGGCTACCTTCCTAGGCATTTGGTGGTAGGTAGTAAGAATTCTTGAAAAATTTATGTTATTATCTTTCTAAAAAAGTTACTCCTAAGGAAACAATCAGCGATAAGGACAAGATTTTAATATGAAATATTTTATGAGGTTTAGAAAATATCTCAGCTTGGATGTAACAATAAGGACTTTAGGAAATAAGTTAAAGGGTATCTATGGACAACAGCGCAGCGGCACATAAGTTATGTTTATCGTATGACATAGCCCTGTATTAACTGCACACACACAGGTGCACGCATCCACTAAAGAGTGTTTATTATGGGGTGATTTTGGTATTCCTGTTATTTACTACGGTTTTAAATATCTGTGTGACACTTCACAACTAGGTGATATTAACACTTGACCATGTAATCATGTTAGCATTCAGCCATATCAGTCTATGTTCATTATTTATATGTATACTTAAAACTCTCTAATTATAAGATAACTTTTGCACAGATCTTACAGACTGTGAATCAAGTGTTTTAGGGTTTTGTTTGCTTTCACAGTCTGTCTGTCCATGGAACGTCCTGATTGATTCCGCGGCTACCTCTCAATCGTCATAGTAACTTGGCTCATGTCATCGTCTGATTTCCTCCATTGCGGTAATCACCACCAGCCCTGTGGTGACCAGAGGCCTGGTAAGGCGAGCCCAGGAGGTGAAAACCAGGGCAAGTTTGGGGATTTCCCTCAATGGCGCTGTTCTCTTTGAAGGGCTGGACATTTGATCTGACTCCTTCCTCAGATCTTTAATCCTTGAACAGGTGTGCTGGGACGGGGAGTTAAGTCTGGAAGGCAGGGTCGCTGGGTTTGTTTGGGGTCATTTATTGACTCAGCTGCTGACAGCAGCGGACTCTTCCTACGTAGCTATAAGAAAGAAAGTAGACAGCCATGTCGCTAGCGGGGCGAGGAGAACTTGGTTATTTCTCAGAATTCGTTTAAATGGATGTTTGAGTGGGAAAGAACCCAAAATAAAGCCGGTGGAAGTCATGTCTCTGTGCCTGGTGTGTGGTCCTGCCCAATGTCCAGGATGGTGCAGGGGGGTTCAAAAAGGCAGAGATGTCATCAGCTTGGACCACGCATTCAGTGACACCGGGGAACGGGCTGTCGGCGGTCCTGACACACACCCCTCGATTTGGAAGGGTAGAGTTAACCTCAAGGTTAAGTAAAGGTCACCTCTGCCTGCCCTATGGCCACTTGGCAGTGACAGAAAAGCTAAGCAGTGTCGTTACCTGGGAATTTCATTTCAAGACAAATGGCGGGGACAGTCTGTCTCCCGGGTCACCTGGGGTACGTTTCCCATGATTGTACCAGGTCTGCAGGCAAGAGAAATGCCAGATTCATCACTGATAGGATCTCTGCTAGGCTGACAGTCCTTTAATTTGGGTGCCTGCGTGGCCAGAGGCCATTATTTCCTCCAGTCTCCTTTTGTCCTGCAGGAGATCATCTGTCTTTCACACACGCCAAATTTAGTTTTCAGGTGAGATGATGATGGGATTCTACCTGAAGTCACCACCAGACTAGTTTCACACAATCTTCTCCTTCGGATGCAGAAGTGGTTTTACCTCCTCACAAACACATCTGATGATTTAAGTCAGAACCTCTGGATTCTTTTTGAGGGGAAGGCTGATGGGAATTAAACCCAGGGCCTTGTGAGGAGAGAGGAAACGCTAGACATGATGGAGGAGTGTGGAACGGGGAACAGGAAGTCAGGTTCACTGTGCAGACATGACAGCACACCCGTCCTCTGCCACCCACTGGTTTTGGACAGCTGTGTGTGTGTCTCCTCTCAGACTCTTAGCTAAGCCTCTGTGAACAGGACTGCAAGAGCATCCGAGGTGTCAAGCTTCGGAGACGAGGTAAGCAAACGATGTCTGTCTGTCCCTCTACCCATCATTTAGAGACAGGGTTGGGCAGCCCAACACTCTGGATCGAAGGACCACAGATGGTCTTTGCTTCTCTCCCCACTTGGGCTATTCCTTCAACCCCATGGAAGTTCTCCTGCAGAGCTGGTATGAACCAGTCTTGGAGAAAAGGTGAGAGGTCAGATACACAGATTAGTAGAAATGGGTTAGTTTAAGATGGAAGGGCTAGCTAGGAATATTGTTGTAATTGATACAGTTTCTGTGTGATTATTTGGGCCTGGGTGACCGGGGATGAAAATGCAGTCTCCGTTTACAAAAATATCCCCAAGAACGCAAGTATACGATCCCGGGCTGGGACTAGTCTGACACAGGAAAAGCTATCCTGGGGGAATAAGTCTAAAGGAAGAAAGGGTGAGCCACAGGAGGTAGAAGAGACAGAAGGCCCAGCCCTGGAAGATGGAGCAGGGCGTTTTACAATACAAAGGAGGCCAACTTGTCAGGGCCTCCTAAAAAAATCCTGAACGGTTTTATCTGTTTGCAGCGTGCAGACAAGAGCAGCTAGCATGACAGCTCTGAGAACCACACAGACAAACACATGCATGAAGAATCCTGAGGACAATGCAGACACCCACACGCATGGAGGACCCTGACAACACATACGACCACATGCGTGGATGATATGGGTTTCCCCTCTGTATGTTATGAACACCACTGGTACATAAAGAAGCTGCTCTCAGCCTAAGAGAGTAAAGCCAGGCAGAAAATCCATACAGAGATGTAGAGAGAGAATAGGCGGAGCTGGGGAGAGGCCATGTAGCAGCCTGCCTGCTGGCTGATACGGTAAACCACGAGCCTCGTGGTAAAATATGCAATAATAGAAGTGGGTTAATTTGAGATGTAAGAGCTAGCTAGAAATATGCATAAGCTAACAGACTGAACAGTGTTTTAATTAACACAGGTTCTGTGTGGTTATTTCGGGTCTGGGCGGCCAGGAAACGAATGAGCATCCTCCGCCAACACATGGAGGATCCTGAGAACAGCACAGACAAGCACAAGCGCGGGGGACCTGGCTGCTTACATATCCACAGCACATGGCAGACACAAAAGTGGGTTATTAAGTTGGACAGCACCGTTTCCTCCCCTCTCCCCTTTCTGTTCCCATCACTTGCTCTTTCTGTTTCCTTCCTTTCTTCTCTCTCCTTTTCTCTATTTCTCTCCTGTCTCTATTTCTTGTATAGCACCCCTGAACCATGAAGAGCCTGCTTCTAGGGGCGGGGTGTTCTGTGTTATGGCTCTGCAGTTGGGAGTCTGACACCTTTAACATACTGGCTTCATTCTTAGGCTTGAGAAAATAAATTACTTCATATGATTTAATTAATTAATTTATTTTGAGGACTATTCCACTATGTAGCCCTGGCTGGTCTGAACCTCGCTATGTAGACTGGGTTAACCTCATTTTGTTTTATATATATATATATATATATATATTTTTTTTTTTTTTTACTGTGTATGGAACCCATGCCCTCAAGACTAATGGACAAACACTATACCAGTGAGGTGCACCCCCAACCTGCTTTTTTAAAAGATGAATTGTAAATTGTGCTTTAGTACAATATTTCAATAGACAGAAACAGTCCTCAAAGGTATCATACCTTAATTGCTGGACTTTATAAATGTTGCTGTCTGAGTTCCTTCTCCTGCTGCTGTGATACAACCCTGAGAGACAAGCAGCTTGAAGGATAAAGGGCTCATTTTAGCGAGGGTTCGGTGTGGGGAAGCCGAGGCTGCTGGAGCTCAAAGCGGCTGTCTCGCCTCATTCACAGTCTGAGAGCAAAGAATGCATGCTGCTGTTCCGCTGCAGCTTCCCATTTAAGGATCCAGGATCCTAGCCAGAAACGGTACCACCCACAGAGGGTAGGCCTTTTCATCTCAATTAATGCAATCAGGATAATCAATGAGGTAAGGGCAGAACCCCATCTCCCAGGTGATTTGAGTATCTATCTATCATGCTGACGCTTAATTCTAACGATCATGGTTAGCACACGGGGTAAAGGGGTGTTTAGGATGAGGTTAAAGGCTAGCAGGTAGACATCAGCCTGGATTACACAGGGAAGCATACTCTAATCACAGTGTCCCTGGCAAGAGAAAGGCCAGGAGCATTTGACACATGAGGGACAGAGGCCTCCAGACCCCAGCAGCCATCCTGGGTCCTGACACTAGGTGAGGGGACAGAGGCCAAGGGTGAGTGTGAGGGGCCCAGGCTGCAGCCTTGCCCAAGGGTGGTCTGCTGGCCAGTTACTGGCAGTGAGCACTAAGCCCTGTGTCTTAGAGAAAAGTGCAGAGGTGGAGAAATGGGCCCTACAGGCACGACAAACACAGTGGCAGTGGCGATGAACACCGCAGGCTGAAGATTGTCAACTGTCTTTGTCTCTGATAAAACCAGCAAACAGGAGCCAGGATTGCGGGGCTCTGAAATTCTCCTAACGGGGAACAGTGGGCATTGAAACGTAGTCAGGTTTGGAAGAATGCAACACTGCTACGCTTCATGTGTTTTCCTAGGAAAAGCCCTGTACTGGTGCAGGTAAACCGCCGAGAACCTTTGGAAGCTCAGTCTTACGGACGCACTGGATCCGGTGATCACTCCACCAGGCAGCTTGTTCAGCACGCTCTCTGATGGTTCAGTTAGGAGCAAGCAGGAGACCACTCACCTACGCGGGTGAGAGGTCCACTTATCCAGAGGGTGACCGCGCTATCAGCCGCTCTCTCTCAGTTTCTTCAGCACGCAGTGGTGGCCCACACCCCCAGGTCTGTAGGCCCAGCTTCATGTCTGGATTAAAGGAAGAAGGCTGATTGTAGCTTGAACTTTGCGCAGCCTTTGGAACCCTGGATGTTCTATCTATCATGTCTACCGGTCATAAGGTGGACACTGCAATTCCATCCCTAGCAGGTGTCTACGTCCTTCACGTAATGGCGAGTGATTGACCCTCTTGAAGGACGTGCCAACATTGCCAGAACATGGAGAGGAGTTGGCATGGGAGACCAGTGTCACAGGGAACAGCTGTAACAGCTGATGTGGGCTGACTCTGACCCAAAAGGACAACGTTTGTCACAGTGACGGCTTTGGCCAGCTGTGACGGTCTTAACGTGGCACCGAGGAAGGCTTTATAAGGCCTTGGCTGGTGCTGTGCAGCTCTGACCATGCGGTCTCCTATCCTCGGTCACTGATCCACAACGTTTGCAAATGCTACATTTGCAGAAAAATCCACGACAGGTATTCAATGACAGGATGTCAATCCCCATTGTCATGTTTATGTATAAGTCTGGTATACATACATACTCTTTCTGAATCCTTGACTCTCTTGATCCCTAACTACATGTCCATGGCATTGCTGGTGCTCAGAAACGTGTGTGTGCAAGGGTCCTTCCCTGGCCATGGGCCACTTAGGTAATTATGGACATATCTGCTGTTCTTGTTCATGGGTACCAATCAGATCTGGTAATTATCTCTCAGAACCATTCTTAAGAACACACAGGAAAATAAACTGCTGTCACGTCAAGCCACTGGAATCCTGCTAGCTTCTCAGCTAGGCAATCTTATATGCAGACTTAATTTCATTCTTCCTATAACTTTTTTTTTCTTCCTATAACTTTTAATCATTGGAGGGGTTTAGTTAACATTGGTGCCTGACAGTAGTGGTGCACACCTTTAATTCCAACATTCTAGAGGCAGAGGCAGGCAGATCTCTGTGAGTCCGAGGCCAGCCTGGGCTACAGAATGAGTTCCAGAACAGCCAGAACTACACAGAGAACCCTGTCTCAGAAAACAAACAAAAACCATTTGTAATATGCTTATAATTGACATTTTCTATTTGGAATACTTCATGTTACTTATTACTAGGTTTATTGCAAATGTGCTTTTTCTTTCTGACTGTGTGTGTGTGTGTGTGTGTGTGTGTGTGTGTATGACAGGGTTTCATTGAACCCAGGCTGACCTCCCCTCACTATGTAACTGAGCATGACCTGAACATGGGATCCTCCTGCCTCTACCTCCCCAGTGCTGGGATTTTAAACATGTCCTAGCACACTTGGCTTTCTTGGATCCCGACATGCAGCAGGGAAACGGGTTGTGCATCTCAGCCCCACGGCTGACGCACATCTTCGCAAAGGGCCAGCTTCTGACAGGGTTGTGTGGGCGGCTTATCGGAGAGGGACAGCGGGGGGGGGGGGGGGGGCAAGGAGTGGGAAGCAAGAGCAGCACAGCAGCAGGAAGACAAGCCTGCTCCGGCCTGGTGACTCAGCACTGGTACCATGGCAACAGTGATTCAGTCCCTGGTACCATGGCAACAGTGATTCAATCCCCAAGACCTTCAGAGAAGCTGCTGGAACAGGAACTGTCTCCTGGGGAGATGAAGAGGAGGGGGTGTTTATCTACTGATGTCTGCCTATTTGGGGCTTTAGGTAGTTTTGCAGGGATTAACCCCTTCCTTCTAGGGTGGACTACAAATGGTTCCTGTATGGATCTGATGAAGGCTTGAGCAGAACTGTCGGGGCCATCAGTACCTGGGATAAGAGGTCAAACAGTGTCAAATGGCCAGAGAGGTGCTACATTAGCACACTGGTTCAAACAGGCATAATGCAGGTGGTAGACATGTTCTCCTTTATCCCCCGTTAAAGCATGTGACAGACATGTTCTCCTCCAGCGCCATTACAGTGCATGTGATAGACATGTTCTCCTCCAGCGCCATTACAGTGCACGTGATAGACATGTTCTCCTCCAGCCCCCATTACAGAACACGTGATAGACATGTTCTCCTCCAGCCCCCATTACAGAACACGTGATAGACATGTTCTCCTCCAGCCCCCATTACAGAACATGTGATAGACATGTTCTCCTCCAGCCCCCATTACAGAGCACGTGATAGACATGTTCTCCTCCAGCCCCCATTACAGAACACGTGATAGACATGTTCTCCTTTATCCCCCATTACAGAACACGTGATAGACATGTTCTCCTCCAGCCCCCATTACAGAACACGTGACAGACATGTTCTCCTCCAGCCCCCATTACAGAACACGTGATAGACATGTTCTCCTCCAGCCCCCATTACAGAACACGTGATAGACATGTTCTCCTCCAGCCCCCATTACGGAACACGTGATAGACATGTTCTCCTCCAGCCCCCATTACAGAACATGTGATAGACATGTTCTCCTCCAGCCCCCATTACAGAGCACGTGATAGACATGTTCTCCTCCAGCCCCCATTACAGAACACGTGATAGACATGTTCTCCTTTATCCCCCATTACAGAGCACGTGATAGACATGTTCTCCTTTATCCCCCATTACAGAACACGTGATAGACATGTTCTCCTTTATCCCCCATTACAGAACACGTGATAGACATGTTCTCCTTTATCCCCCATTACAGAACACGTGATAGACATGTTCTCCTTTATCCCCCATTACAGAACACGTGATAGACATGTTCTCCTTTATCCCCCATTACAGAACACGTGATAGACATGTTCTCCTTTATCCCCCATTACAGAACACGTGATAGACATGTTCTCCTCCAGCCCCCATTACAGAACATGTGATAGATATGTTCTCCTTTATCCCTGTAACGGCATAAACAAATGCAGACAGATTGTAAAAATATATACAGCTTTAATGGGGAAATAGACTTACAGAACCACCGTTCCCGCGGAGACCAGGAAAGCAGAAGCTAGCGCAGCAAGCATGCTCGCCAGATTTATAGGTAACCATTAGCCCGAGGCGAACACGCCCCCTAAGGGGCGGGACTTATCCCTACATATCCCCCATTACAGAGCATGTGATAGACATGTTCTCCTCCAGCCCCCATTACAGATCATGTGATAGACATGTTCTCCTCCACCCCCCTTACAGTGTATGTGATAGACATGTTCTCCTCCAGCCCCCATTATAGTGCATATGACAGACCATGTACTACTCTATCACACCCCATTGCTGGTTCTCAGGGTTTACGGTCTGCAGAGTAAATCACAGGGGTCCTATGAGATCATACCTGTTTTCAATCTGATAGTAAGATATCATTAGTTTCTATCATGCTCGTTTTCTGCATGCGCAGTTTTCCAGAAGGTTCCCCACATGTGTTAATGCACAGACTGCCTGAAGCAGGTATGAGACCCAGTTTCTTCCATCACCCAGGCATTAAAGAGATTTGCAAAATTCTAGGGGGCTGGAGAGATGGTTCAGTGGTTAAGAGTATTGCCTGCTCTTCCAAAGGTCCTGAGTTCAATTCCCAGCAACCACATGGTGGCTCACAACCATCTGTAATGGGGTCTGGTGCCCTCTTCTGGCCTGCAGGCATACACAAGACAGAATATTGTATACATAATAAATAAATAAAATATAAAAAAATAAAAAAATTATTAAAAAAAATTCTATTTGGGCCACAACTTTTGTGCCGGAAAATACAGGTAATTTTTATGCAAGTCCATGGGTATGTATGGGTATGTATGCATGTGTGTGTGAGCATGAGGCCAGGCACTTATTATTGTTTGTTTTTTTGAGACAGGGTTTCTCTTTATAACAAGACACTATTAGTATGTGGTAAAAATATGATGGTTGAAAAATTAGCTTTGCAACCAAGAAGAGATCGGCTTGTTTATTCTCTGGTATGTGTATGAATACCCAAGCCACGGCATGTATGTGAAAGTCAGGAGACAACCGGTGGGAGCTGGCTCTCTCTTCATCATGTGGGCTATGGGGCTCAGACTCAGGCTGGCAGACTTGTTAGTAATTGCCTTCACCCATTGAACCATCATCTCGCTGGCCCTGATTTATTGTTTATAAAAGTAGTATCTTTGAGGCTCCACTTTCTACGAACTATTTGAAAGGCACTGATTATTTAAGGTGGAGAGAAGCGTCACTAAGCTTATCATAACCCTCAAAGAAATACAGCCCATGACGTGAAAACCGCTGGTCCTGGACAGTCCTCGTACGTAGAGACAGAATGGAAAGCGGATCTTGAAGGTGGTGCTGGGGACTACTGCACTCTACTCCAGTTAATCTCGAAACGCTGCAGGCCCACCCCTGGTCCTTGGAGCGGACAAGAGAATACAGGAGTGGCAGCTCTGATCTCTTCCTGCTCTTTCCAAGGTCACAGCCACAGCCTTGCTGGACCACTGGCTGGGCTAGGCACAAGCAGATAGGACAGTCACTTTCAACCTGTTAGAAGATTGGGAGACATTGTTCTTGGTTGCTTGGCTGTGTCGTTCTTACCGCTCTTACATGCTTGCTGCATACAGGACACCACTTACTTATTATTCTCTACTTAGAGAGCGTTTCCTCAATCACCAAAGTACCTTCTTGTGCTTTCTAGAACACTGTATGACCTCAATGCTCTCCACAGCAGTCACCGACAGACAGCATCTGCTTGACTTATCCATCAACCTCTAAAAGTTGAGAGAGATTCTTATTACACCCTTCCCATGCTCACAAAGTCCCTGGTCACAGGAGACACTGATATTTATGTTAGGTCGGGAAGGATGGCCGAGTGGGTACTGTACATGGTCTGTAAACGCATGCGGACCCAAGTGCTCTCAGCACCCATGTGAAGCAATGACAGGAAGGGAAACAGAGGCAGGGAGAGCCCTGGAAGCTTGTGGGCTACCCTGACCTAAGTGGAGAAGTTAGGCCAGTGGGAAACCCTGTCTCAAATAAAGGGCTCCTGAGGAGATAGCCTAAGCTGTCCTCTGACCTGTACACACACTGTGCATATGTGTATTCACACCCACATCCATATAGACATGAAGCTGAATGTAGTGAAAGTGGCATTTTATTCATTCTGTCAATTGAAAATATTTACAACATCAGTTGAACTCAATCTAAGAAATCAACTTTCATGCCAACATTGGGTTTTAAAAGGACAGTCAATATAATTATGTTCAAAGTTATTCGCCCCCAAACTTGTAACTATCTGGCGTTAGGATGCTTCCACACAGCTCAGTTTTGGGTGTTAAGTTCTCTAGCTTCAAGGAAGAACATTCTGTTTACTTCACTAATGGGCACATCTCTTAAGGCTGGGATGGCGTCTTCCTGGTAGCTCTTCCACTGTTGGTTTTTAGCATAGTTATCTGCAAGACAAGAAAAGCTCCACTGAGCCAAGCATTTTCTTCCTGTAATCTCTGTGGTTCCCTAAGATCAATCGCACCGCTCACCACAAACACCATGCACTCGTAGTTACTTGTCTTCTGCGGTAACAGAATCCCTAACAAATGAACTTAAGGGCTTACTTTGGTCTACAGTTACACGGATACAGTACACCACGGGGGAAGATATGCGGCAGGAGCAGGAGACAGCTGATGACACTGTCCAGGCAGGATACAGAGAGAAATGCTTGCTTTTACTCAGTGCTAGACCCGTGGGACGGCACCTTCCACACTTACGGTGTCTTCTACTCTATAAATCTAACCTGGATAAACCACACGGTGCGCTCAGATTCTAAGTCCACAAAGCTGGCAATCAAAAGTAACTACCGTGCCGTGTTTAACGTGACAGATGACTTTGTTTCCGTGTGCTCTGAGGCCCACTGATTGCTCTTCTGACAAAAGTACTACTATTTCATGCCTCCACCCTTCATCATTTTATGTACACATACATGTACCTGTGATGGTGTGAATGGAGTTGAGGGGAGATGTGCTCATCATGTTAATACCAAATAAGAGGATATAACCAATCACAACAGCAATGAGGAGGTAGACAGGCAATGTGACGGCCCAGTATCTGAGGAGAGAACATTAATGTGTGTTAACACATGTTAAGAAGCCATAATTCCCAAGAGGCAGTCACAAAACATACTTTTTTTTTTTTTTTTTGGAGACAGGCTTCTCTGTGTAACAGCTCTGGCTGGAACTTGCTCCGTAGACCAGGCTGGCCTCAAACTCTCCCAAGTGCTGAGATGGAAGGCAAGCGGCACCACCGCCCAGCCCACAAAACATACTTTAGAAATGTAGGTTTTATAGAAGCAGCAGATGCACACGAGGATCTTGCACGTCTGAGCTACTGTCAGCTGTCCAACTTGACTCCAGCCATGCTGACCCTGCAGTCCCGCTCCACCCCAGCCCCTCCAAACCGGAGCCGCTTGCTTCCTTGCTCCCATTAACATTACTATTACTATTTCTTGGTTTTCATCAGTTTCAGACATTTTCTCTAGGTGTCTAATGAAAGCAAGGCATCACTTCTCCTCAGACTTTCCAGTTACACCACACTTTTATTCTGTCGGCAGCTGACAGCACCCATAACTGTACACTGCGTGTAAACAGCATCTGCAGCCGAGAGTCTTAATCAGCTTTCCAGGTAGCATTTTAATTTCAGCTATCATGCTCAGGACTTTCCACTTGGTGATTTAAGAACCACTTCCTTGGACAGCACACTGCTCAGGTCCTTTCTCATCTCTGGGGATCAGGCTCCTCTCCCTCCTTCCTGCAGCTGACATCACCTCCATTTCCTCTGGTGTCTTCTTTTCTTTTCATCTGAGCACAGACTTTCCTTTAATGTCTGGGAATTTATGACGTCTATTTACATTTACAGATCCAAGTGATAAGAAGTTGACAGAAACTAAGGCATATACAAGAGCAGAGATGGCAGTAAGGGCAGAAATATGTCTTTTACCCTGGTCAGCTTTCTCAGCACGGCACCTCCTAGCTTTCTCTGAGGGAGGGTGGGCTAAAACTCATGAGCTTCATAAGGAAAGGTGCCAAGGGAGGGACTGGCCCTTATTAGTTAGCTGTGTAGATGCTCTCTTTTTATCATCCCATGCTTCAATTTTACAGCTACCTTGTAACCTCCAGACTACAGACTCTCCCCAACTCTCTCCACAGGATGGAAAGATTTCCCTCCAGACTACAGACTCTCCCCAACTCTCTCCAGAGGATGGAAAGATTTCTCTCCAGACTACAGACTCTCCCCAACTCTCTCCAGAGGATGGAAAGATTTCTCTCCAGACTACAGACTCTCCCCAACTCTCTCCAGAGGATGGAAAGATTTCTCTCCAGACTACAGACTCTCCCCAACTCTCTCCACAGGATGGAAAGATTTTCTGCATGGAGGAGAGGGGCAATCTCCAGGTTCAAGGTAAGGAAGGGGAGTAAGCAGATCAGCTATTTGAACACATCTTCTGTCCAATGCAGAATTACCATTACCAAGAGATGTTGGTATTTCCAAGGTCTGAGGCCGTTTTGGAAACCCAGGGCACAAATACTCTTGTTGGCTTCCCTCCTCTAGCACATGGAAAAAAAAACAGACCCTTCTCTCTCAAAGACTATTTCACAATTTTGTTAATATCTTTTATCTGCTAATATAATTTTAGCCAGATTTTAGGGAGGAAATAGTGATAAACATGCTTACACCACCATCTTTAATTCATGATTTATTGATAGTCTTTAAGAAATGTTCAATTCTTGCTGGGGTATGGCTCTCTGGTTAAAGCACCCACCGCTCCACTGGGAGAACCAGAGTCTGGATTGCCAGAACCCAGGTACACGCTGGATGAATGTGATGGCCCACCTGTAATCCCAGTACTAAAAGGCAGACACAGGGAACAGGGAATTCTGGGGCAAGCTGGCTATCAAGACTATACTGTCCCACTCAAGTTCCAGTGAGAGACCGTGCCCATAAGGTGGAGAAGGACTGAGGGAGACTCCTGACATCAACTTTGGACCACCGCATGCACATGCAAACATGTTTTACCTTCACACACAAAGGTGGCCAGACATGTGCGAGTACCCCGGCCTACCACATCCCCCAACACACACACACACACACACAATTTTCAATCTCAACACAGTTACTTAGGGATTTTAAACAATAATGATTTAAGGCGTGTGTTTTAGAGAAGACTATAATCCTGCAAATCAGTATAGTTTTGCTCTTAGTTAAAGAAATATTGAACTTACTTTTGAGGCCAGTAAGTTAAGCCTAAAGAGTTTAACCACGATTCAGGAATGAAAGCCCATACAAGGTAAAGTACTGCAGGATAAAGAGGGTGAGGGAAGAGAGAAGAAAAGTCAGTCAGGCATGGATCCAATCTACATGACTCAGACAACAACGCTCCTGACTCATGTTCAACTCTTAGCATTCAGCGTCCTAGCTCCTGATCTGGACCACTCTTGCAATACTTGCCATAATGACCGTATTAATAGTTTTCTAGTTTCATAGCCTTCACACCATATTTTAGTCTAAGGACACATTACTTCTTAGCAACTGCTATCTACAGCATTTGACAAGCTGTTTCTGCACGCTAAGAGTTCAGTACTTCACAGTGCAGATGTCACTACACTTAGTTGCTTAAAGGGGAACTCATCCCCTCTGGTTCTGATTGTCTACATACGATCTTCCTTCCCTCAAGACCAAGTCTCTGGGCTCCTTTTTAGCTGTCTCTGTGTGGTAACAATATGCAGGCTCTTACCTGACCTGCATGCATTACTTCATCTTCAAAACAATCCAGAGACATGTGTGTAGATGCTACACTGGGGACGTGGTAAAGACAAGTTTCAGACCACATCAGTGATGATGGGCCATCTTTCCCTGAGAATGAAGAGCTCTCTGGGTCAAGACTGGAAGACATCGACGCCCAAAGAGAAGGCTTCTGCTCTCCTTATGCGTCTGGTGCTGGACTGATCTTTCCCTGTGCTGTGGTAAGAGCTGCCTACCGAGTGAGCGCTAAAAGGGCACATGGCACGGGGGAGGGGTCTCCTCCCCCATGGCTACCTGGCTATGTTTTAATCGTCCAGACTCTCCAACTGAGAGGAAAACTCAATGAGAGCGGACAGGGCTTGGCGGTTTGGCGATTCCCTGGCCTGTAACCCTGCCTGGTACACAGTAAGTGCTCAATCAATTCCTGAATTAATTTCTGGTTGTATCGTAAGTCATTGATTTACCTTGTAGACTTTCCAATCCTTAAAAGACTTTTTGAATAGATATTTACAAAAATAAACAGCAGCTAACACTTATTCAATAGTTTCTCTGCATTAAGTACTTCACAAAAATATCAGTTACTACAAGTCAGAAAAGGGCAGTAGAGTGTGCCTGTGTTCTAATTCCAGTCCTATTGTTAACTGGCTTGGTTGTAGCTTTGAGCAAGTTTCTTAAATCCCGCAAAGTCTCACTTTTAAGTTGAGGACTGTAATACAATACCTACTTCACAGGATCACTTCCTGCAAAACATCAACAATGAACACTATCGATACCCCTACAGATGAGGACACTTTAGGCCCCAGGTAAGTTAACCACTCTGAGGCCAAACAAGGACTCCATGCAAGAGCCAGAATTTGAACTCAGTGTAACTTCTTCATCGCATTGACTAGGCTACAGCTGAGCGAATCTTTTTCAGTTGAGGATTCAGAAAGGTGGATTGAAGGTCTTTAATTTTCTTCCATTTGGTTGCCTCACACTTTCCAAACTTGGTGAGAAGGGACTTGGGTCCTCCTTGTGTGAGTTGGTCACGTTAGTTTAAGTAGGCCTCAATGTCCTCATCTACAAAAATGGAGCATTATGGGAACCATAGCAGATCCAAACTGTAAAGGGCACATTCTTACACTCAATGTCTCAGCTCACCTCAGCCCTGGAACCATAACCTCCTCACTCCCAAACCTTGTCACTCAGGGAGTCCCATGGTCCTTCCCCCTGACCTTATTCTGATACACTTGCCAGGGAGTCACCAGGAGGAAGCTAACCTGATTTCTCAGTCTTCCAACGCTCTTCCAGGACACCCATGATGCTGTATTAACCGTAGGTTTGCTATACTTCTCCACAATACTATGACCCCAGGGCACGGCCCAGGCTTTATTCGCTTTAGTGAGCCTGGTGCTGGGTAAATACTGGAGGTTAAACCTAGTATTGGATATACTGAGCAACAGCGGGTTCCTTTCAGGGCTCCTTAAGAAGAGACAGAGGTAGAAAGAATCAACAGCTCATGTGTGCACATTCTAAGAACAAACGCATCACTTCCTGGTCCATCCATCATTCCAGTACTTACTGAAGCCAAACTGAGAGCTTAAGAAAAGAACAAAGCCATAAATCGCTCTTTCTGGCAATGGCGACGGTGAATTTTCCACCATTTTCCCTGTGGCTTTAGACAATCTGTGGAAAAGGAATACAGTCGTCGTCAGGCATGCCCCCTCCCATCACCACGGGCAGTTACATAACCTCCCCGCCGCGCCGCGGACGCACTGCGGATGCTCGCCCGCCCCTGCCCAACCAGGGCCCCTCCGCGCGCACGCGCACCCCTGCAGAGGAGGGGCGGCGGGAACGCGCGCTGCAGGGAAAATGCGCAACTCGGGACAGCGGGATGCGAGGACCGGACAGGACCAGACCGGACCAAGTCCTGCTCTGTCCTGAGGGGCTCGGAACCCGCCCAACGCGGGGTTCAGAAAAGAAGGGAGGCCTTCGACCTTGGCTCCTTCCAACGCCCACGCCCATCCCCTCGGACCTCTCAGCCCCTCCGCACTCAGTCCTCTGCGCAGGCGCCGCCCAGAAAGCCGCAGTGGGGGCGGAAGAAAAAGAAAAAAAATTAAAAAAACCCCGAGGAAAAAGCGGGGGCTTAGAGGCGTCCCGCCGTTGGCGCAGGCGCAGTGTGCGGGGACTAGCGCAAATCTCACGGCCCTCCCCGCCGAGCTGAGGGGGCGGGACAGCGACTGCGCATGCGCGCCTCCCGCCCACGTGACCCGCCAGCCTCTGCAGCCGCTGGCCGCTCGCTGCACGGGTCGGGTTGACGTGGAGGGGCTGGCGGCAGCGGCGGCGGCTGCCCGCGTCCGAGGCTCGCGGGCTGCGGGCCCGGGTGAGTGCAGAGCCAGCGCGCGTCCCGCCGCAGCCGAGATGCCCGGGCATCGGGGCGCTCCACACCTCCCCGCGTGGGTGTGTGGTGAGTGTGGGTCCTCGCGCGTCTCTCCAAGGCGCCCGAGCGCCGAGGGGGGTGTGGCCGCCCTTGCCCCGGTGGGTGTGTCCGCTTTTCCGGGGGGTCCTCGGGGGTCCGTGCCGGGAGGAGTGGGCCTCTAGCGTGCGTACCCCCTGGCGCGCGTGGGTGAGCTGCGCTGGGCCTCCGGCCGCCGCGTCCTGAGCGCTCGGGGACGCGCCCGTGTCCGCGGCCCGCCCGCTTTGTTCATGCGGTAGCCACTCGCCCGTCGCTGCGGTGGCGTGGGCGTCCCTATCCCTGTGGATGGTCACTGCAGCCCCTGTGGTGTGCGCATCCCTATCCCTGCGGAAGGCCACTGCAGCCCCTGTGGTGTGCGCGTTCCTATCCCTGCGGGTGGTCACTGCAGCCCCTGTGGTGTGCGCGTCCCCGCCGCTGCGGCAGCCTGTGGTCGATAGGCGCGCGGGTGCGTCCTCGCGTGTCCCCCCACCATCCCCACTCCCGCCTCCCCAGGTGCGCTGTGCGGGGGGCCTGCGGCGCGCGTGCGCGGGCTTCGGCTCGTAGGGCTCTGGGTCGCGCGCGACCCCTCGTCTTCGGTGTGCGCGCATCTTCCCTGCGTCCTCACCCCGTTATGTTTTGGGGAGGACCAGAAAGGGACGCAGGGCTGTCCCCCACCTGCAGCCTTGGAGGAGCATCATCTGCCCTCCTGACGCCTGTTGCGGGGGCTGCAGCTCCGCAGTGGTGCTGACGTCACTAAAGCCTCTGCGGCCGCCCCTTTGCGGGGAGGGGCGGGGGGGGGCGACGACAAAGGACCAGAATGGAGACTGGTTACCGGTGCGCGGTGCCTTTTGCAGAAGCTTTTAGCTTCATAACGTCCTTCCGTTTGCAAATCCTTTCCCAAGTACACGCTTGTGTCTTTCACCAGATCTTGGCAACACCGAGTGGTTAGTAGGGTGTTTATGGCAGCCATATAAATCTCTGGATCCTGGCGAGGGAAACAGGTGGCGTCATACAGATGTTACTGCTCTCGCTGGGGCAGTTATCTCAAAACCACGGCTCTAGTTAGAACCTTATTTTAAAAACAAAGATTGTGTTTTATTTGCAGGAAAACAGGCTTGTTATAAGTATACATGGGGAAAGGAAGGTGAAACCCCTTCAGGGACTCAGTCGCTACTACTGTGCTTGTCAAGGGTTTGTGCTTTGCGCTCAAGGGCTGCGGTTTCTGTTTCTCTCCTGCTCAGTTTCCTTACTGTTGCCTAATTTCCCGGAATACTTCAAATATTAAACATAGACAGATCTAACCAAACCAGACATTTATTTATTTATTTATTTTTGCCAAATTTACTTCAAGTCCTCCAAAAAAAAAAGATTAAAAATTTTTGGAGGTGCTGAGAGTTCTCCCCTCCTTTCCTGGAGATAGCCACTGTGTTCAGGTGTGTGTGTTTCATTTCCTTGCACAATTTATAATTCGGTAATGGTGACTATATAAACAATACATAGTATTGGTTTTTAAACTAAAATGATAAAATTGTGTCATTTTGCAACTTGCTTTTCAGTCAGCATCACATTTTGAGATATATATGAATAAATCGAACTATTGTATTTTCTTTGAATTATTATAATTGTTGTAGCACTGTATTGTATGAATATACCATAATTTATTTTTATAGTTTCCTCTTGATGGATTTTGGAATTATGTATAGTGTTTACTCTTTAAAAGAGTCCTGCAAGAACTATGTTTGTACCTCTTTGTTATACACCTTTGGAGTTTCTCTAGGAAGTACATTTAGTCATAATTTCTCTGGGTATTGGAATATGTGTCTTCCACTTAACCAGATACGATAGAAGCTCTCAAGGTGGTTGTACAGCCAGTTTTCACTCATTCTGAGAACACCCATTTCCTCACATGCTTGCTAACAAGCTACGTTTTCTCTTCTCTCTACTCACCACCTTCTTTGTGACTTTAGCTTGCTGCTAAATTTGCTTACAGCCTGGCTTCCATCTAGCCATGTGACAGCAAATGGGTTAATCTCTCACAGCTGATTGGTCCAGTCTTCATAATATTAATACCAACGAATGTTTATTACATTATCAAATGTTGCTATGGTTGGTGTAAAGATAGAGTTTCATGGCATGTTATATGTACCTCTCTAGTAGCAAGTGAACTGGTTTAATTAAAAGCATTTTAAAGATACAATGTTTTTTTTTAAATCCTTCCCTCCTTGGTGTAGTGGTTGGTATACTCAGAATACATGTAACATATTACAGTCTGTGAAGGCAAACAAGTGAACACTTCCAAGTCGACCAGTGGATCCAAGAGTCAACCTAACCAATACTGAATGTGCTCATCATTATCCTGAACTCATGTTATTCTTCTACTTAAACACTGATCAAATTTTTATGTATCGCTCAGCTCTGGATTGTATGTATGGTTTCTGTGTTTGAGTAAAACACATTATCATGGGTGTATCCTGAAACTTGCTTTCAGTCACTGCTGTATTTCTGAGTTACTAATATTCAGATGTAAGTCACTAATTCTTTACTGCTTGTGTAATATTGGGGGAATATAATGCAGTTTGTGCTTTTTCCTGCTGGTGGGCATTTTGATTATTCTGTTCTCCATAAGAAAAGTAAACAGCACACCCACCTGGAAGAACTGTGGTATAGCTGCAAGTAGGAAAGCAAAAATCACTTAAAATGCTACATACAAACCTGAAAAGCCTCCTTTAATCCCAGCACATCCTCTGTCCATTTACTTATTCAGGAAGTTGGTATCATTTGTTTCTTCTGTTAATTATCAGTGTATATAATAACTTTTATTCAGCTCAACCGTATGATGAAAGTAGTTATAACACCTAAAATATTTTGACACCTATTTTCTTGTGTGGTCTATGTGTCGTGGTACACGTGTGGAGGACAACTTGAAAACCATTCCTCCCACCAGGTGGGTCTGGGGGATTGAACTCTGGTTGTTGGGGTTGGTGGCAAGTGCCCCTGCCCACTGAGTCATCTTGCTGGCCCAGTTACATGTTTACGAGACTCACAGTTTGTAAAATGCCTTTATTATACTCTAGAAATATATCCTTTGCAGTTAAACTCAATGCTGAACATTTTTAGACACCACAGTAGCATGTGGAAAGCATGTAACTTTAAAGGTGCTTTGTTGGCGTGCCCAGCATCATGAACTGTTCTCTAGGAAGAATTGCTGCTCTTCAAGGGGTTCAGCTTCACGAAGGGATTTCAGGTTGGTTTTGAAGTGGTCGTGCCAACGTGTTTTAGCTAACAGTTTTGTCAACTTACATACTTTGGTCGGCATTATATGGGATTATAGTTAACCCGCAGCCTAATACTCACCTTAGATTCCTTGTGTTTGTCAGTAGTTCGACATGGTGCATCATTGTGGTTTAAATTTGCATTTTTTAACGAGATTGGGAATCTTTTCATATACTTACGCATCAGATATTTCCCTTGTTGCGTGAAAAACATGTCCGTGTTTTTCACCTACTTTTTAAAAAATACTGAGTATCTTTTAAAGCTGACAAGTGGGTAGCTTTCTTTAAAAATGCGCATTGGAGAAGCCCATAGCCTCATGCATTTGATAAAACTTGCTTCTGCAGATCCATATGGCCTGACTTGCTGCTGAGTGTCTGTGGATCGATGTGTTTCTGGCTTGTCCTTATGTCTCGTCTGCAGATCCATACGGCCTGACTTGCTGCTGAGTGTCTGTGGATCGATGTGTTTCTGGCTTGTCCTGTATGTCTGTCGTCTAATATTTATCTGTATTTATATCCAAACTCCCTTAGTTATTCACTGTAGCTTTACCTGAAATCCGTTCATTTTTTTTGGACCCAGGCTGGCCTTGAACTCACTGAGTGCTGCAGCTACAGGCATTGAGCATCACAACTGCTCAAAACCTTCCTGTTTGTCAACTTTGTTAAATGGTCCTGAGTTATTTAGTCACACGGCACCACTGATCGGCATCTTAAGTCACTCAGTGATCTTCGTGCCTGGGAAACTAGATCTAGAGTCTTACTTGTTCTTGAACCTTTGACCTTTAAGATCCGTCGTAAGAAGCTTCTGGAGCTTAATTGAAATCAGTCCAATCAGTTCTGTGAAGAACTGAAATTGGTTGCTGCTATAAATAACACCCCCCCAAGATTCCATTTGCTGGCAGTAATCAGTAAAGAAAATTTTACAGCATATTTTATTTTATTTTAATATTTATTTATTATGTATACAATATTCTGTCTGTGTGTATGTCTGCAGGCCAGAAGAGGGCACCGGACCTCATTACAGATGGTTGTAAGCCACCATGTGGTTGCTGGGAATTGAACTCAGGACCTTTGGAAGAGCAGGCAATGCTCTTAACCTCTGAGCCATCTCTCCAGCCCCTACAGCATATTTTAAAATACAGATTTTTAACTATCTGCTTTGTATTTTATTTCTCGTATTTTGGAATTCCATTGGTCATTCTGTCATATGCAGTGGTGATGTTTATTTTGTTTATTTTTTTCCTCTTTCCAGTTATTTTCCTTTTCATGTGTGTGTGTTTGGTGGAAGTGGTTATGGTTGTTCATTAAGACATGGTTATAGCGCACATACAGGTCTCATTCCCAGTTTCAACTAAAGTGTTGCTCCGTTAACAGCATTTGTTAGGATGTTTGTAGGTAACCGTGTCATGTTAGGACAGGCTCTGCCATTTTTTCACATGGTTTTCTGTATTTGTTGAGATTTTGTTTCTTTTCTCCAATCCATTACGTGAAATGAATTACAAATTACATTTAAAAATATTTTTATTTGTAAAGTTGTTTTGCTTGCATGTATGTCTTCTGTACCACTTGCATGCCTGGTGCCCACAGAGACCAGCAGAGGGTATCAGATCCCCTAGAACTGGAGTTACAGGCAGTTATGAGCGCTGGGCAGTGAATCCAGGTCCTCAGCAAGAGCAGCCAGTGGTTACCCTGCTGAGCTGTCTCTC